GTAAGTCAATTAGGTAAATGTGAAAAATAGCCGGACATTTGATTATATTAAGGAGTTACTTTTTAAGATAGTATACCTTGTCATGCTTTCATCTTTTAGAACTAGATATTGAAATATTTAAAAATTAAATAGCATGATATATAGAATTTGTTTCACATTATGTAGAGATGATGGCAAGTATGAATATAAATGTAACCAGATCAGCTCATGTGTTGATGACTGCTGATTCTGAGTGTTAATATATTCTCTCTACATTTGAATATGTTTGAGAATTTCTGTAATATAAGGAATATATAAAGCCATTAAATTTGAAACCCCAAATGAAAGGAGCCCATTATTTAAAAATATTTGAATAGACTAACTGGTCCAAACAGAAATAGAAAAATGTAATTAAGCAATACAAAGTTTAACTGTGAACAAAGCTCCAGCCATCCTTAAATATTTCAACATTAGGTAGTTGGGGGGCACTTTTACCAAATAATAATCAAATAAGTAACCACCATCTCACATAAACACATCCAAAGAACACAAAACCATCAGAAATTTTTCAACTCATTTTCCTAGGCTAGTTCTCTTTGGTAAGAAAACCACCATCTGAGGACACACTGCAAAAAGAACACTTGAGCCAACATCATCCATGTAGAGGCCAAGATTCTAAATAAATCCTTACAGTACAGCTGTGAATACAGTCTGTGTCCAAGGAATGTAAAAATATTATTAGAATAAAAAATGGTCTAAAATATCACCACATTAACAGATTAGGTTTTGTTTTGTTTAAGGCATTTAATCATGTCCTAAGGTTCAAAAAAGACTTTGGGGGGAAAAAAACACAAATGCATTTAATAACATTTAACAAACTAACATTAAAAAGGAAGTTTCATTTGCCAAATTCTACAGTATTCAAACTTAAGTGTAAAATACGAACTGTTAGGAGCATTCCTGTTAACATAAGGAGCAAGACATAGCAGTATATCACCAGAAAAATACAGCCAGAGATAATAAGATATAAAATTAAATAAATGTTAGGAATATTAAAAAGAAATAGAACTTCATTGTTAAAAACATGATTGTCGGGCTGGGGATGTGGCTCAAGTGGTAATGTGCTCACCTGGCATGTGCAGGGCACTGGGTTAGATCCTCAGCACCACAGAAAATAAAAATAAAAAGATGTTGTGTCCACCGAAAACTGAAAAATAAATATTAAAAAATTCTCTCTCTTCTCTCTCTAAAAAAAAAAAAACAAAACACATGATTGTCATTTTCAAAGACCCAAGGACAAGGCCATGGGGTTATTCAAATAAGTTAACTTCTGAAAGATGGTGTATAGATCACTATAGTAAAGTCAAAAGTCTTGCTGCACAAAGCAGTAATATTAGAACATACATGTAATTTATTTGATACCACAAATGAGGATCAAATCTAAAATGAATTTCACTGCACAGTTCAATGCAATATTAGATAAGGCCAAAAGATCTGGGTCTCCCAGGGTGTGGTGGCACATGCCTGCAATCTCAGCAGCTCTGGAGGCTGAGGCAGGAGGATTTTGAGTTCAAAGGCAGCCTAAGGGATTTAGGGGAGCCCTAAGCAATTTAGTGAGACTCTGTCTCAAAATAAAAATAAAGAGGGCTGAGGGGACTGGGGTTGTGGCTCAGTGGTGGAGCACTTGCCTTGCATGTGTGAGCTCCTGGGTTTGCTCCTCAGTACCACATATAAATTAAAAAAAGGCGGGGGGGGGGGGAGGCTGGGGATGTAGCTCAGTGGCTAAGCACTCCTGGGTTCAATCCCTGGTACAAATAAATAAATAGAATTACATTTTAAAAAACAAAAATAAAAAAGATCTGAGTCTCTTGAAATTATGCAAACATGCATATTTGCATAATTTCAAGAATACATCTTGAAATTCCGAATTCCATTTATAGAGGCTCAAACGTTTGAAATGAAAATTAGACCTGGGTGTGGGCCTGTAGCCAACTGAGGGAAGGGTCCTATCATCTGCCTAGAATCAACAAGAGCTCTATGTGAGTTCTATAAAATTACCCCTCCCCCATAATAGTGGAATCTTCTGACAAAGTATGACCCCTGCTGTCAACCCTGGGAGATTTCAAAGAAAGTCGCCAAAGACTGAATTTGGTTGATGGAGACCCCCAGGATCACTCTGCATGTTCTCTTACAGTTCAGAACTTTTCCTGGGCTGCCTACCTTGCGTTGCATCCTCTCCATTTCAGCTGTCATCTGGGGTGCAAACCCATAATGGGTAAAGGCTTAAGCTGGGAAAGTGTCCAGAGCTTGCTGGGAATTTTTGTTTTTCTTTCTCTCTTTTTCTTTCTCCTCACGGAGCCTTTAATCTATGAGCCAGTAAACAAAATGTGGCTCTATTTTCTTATGTTACCAGGCACTCCGAAACAGAGAGGGCGCCAAAGAGTCACCCCCATATTGTACCACAGTGCAGGAAGCCCTGAAAATTTCCTACGCAAGGGCAGGGGGGGCGGATATGTTCCCCCCACTGACTTCCGCCACTGGAATCTAGGAGATGAAACTTTATTGTAAAAGAAATGGCGTCAGCTTAGCAGCGCGAGGAACCCAGGTCTTTCCACAAGGTAAAGCTGTTAAATAAGGTTTGAGGGGACCCCTTACATTCGAAAACAGAAAGCCTTCCCAGCCCGCCTCTGCCGTCAGCCTCAGAGGACCCTGGTTGGGGACTGCCTGGTATACTACCTTCCGAATTCCATTTATAGAGGCTCAAGCGTTTGAAGTGAAAATTAGATCTGGGCGTGGGCCTGTAGCCAACTAAGGGAAGGGTCCTATCATCTGCCTAGAACCAACAAGGGCTCTATGTGAGTTCTCTAAAACTACCCCTCCCCCATAATAGTGGAATCCTCTGACAAAGTATGACCCCTGCTGTCAACCCTGGGAGATTTCAAGCAGAAGTGGTTGGAAGTACTGTGCCCCACTGCCACCTCTAACTACTCCAAGACATTGAAGGTATTAGACTAGAGTGTTTATCCCAGACAAGTAAGAAAGGAGCCCAGGCTTTGCCATTAATCAGTGAAATGCCTCCACGTGACCTTGGTGGAAAACTGCCCTTCCTCCCCGCCCCAAAAAGTAAACTGAGGTTTGTCCACGTGGTGCACGCCTGTAATCCCGACCCTTTCCTTCCCCCTCCCCCTTCTCCCCTTGCTCCTCTCTCCCCTCCCCTTCCCCTCCTCATCCTTCCCCCTGGGAACCCCTCTCCTCGATCCCCCACCCCTTTTCCCCCTCTCATCCTTCCGCCCTCCCTCATTCTCCCCCCCTCATCCTTCCGCCCTCCTTCATCCTTCCCCGCCTCCCTCATCCTTCCCCCCATCCCTCTCTCTCTCCCCCCCCCCTTACCCCACAGAAGTATTACAGAGCCACACCCCTGACTTGAGCCCTCTGAAACCAATGGCTTGCTGTAAAAATAAAAACAGTTGACGCCCTCAGTTTAACTTTGTGTGTGTGTGTGTGTGTGTGTGTGTGTGTGTGCTCGCGCGCGCGCGCGCGCGTGCCAGGGATTGAACCCAGGGACGCTCAACGACTGAGCCATACCCCTAGCCTTTTTAAATATTTTATTTAGAGACAGGGTCTGGCTGAATTGCTTAGGGCCTCATTAAGTTGTTGAGGCTTTCTTTAAAGTCGGCAATCCTCCTGCCTCAGCATCCCAAGCTGCTAGGATTATAGGCATGCACCACCCCTCCAGGCCTCAGTTTAATTTTCTGGTGGGCACAGAGTACTTAAGAACCTTGGTGTAAGGCTAAATTCAGCAGAGGGAGGAGTCTCCAGGGTAATCAAGAGTTACATTCAGAAACTTGAGCAAGGACCAGGGAGACTTTCTCTCTCAGAACAAAGGAAGCCCCACAGAGCACCATTACTGCTATGAGCTCATCAGCAGTACTGTCAGGTTAAAGTATTCCTTACTTTATTCTTAGTGGTCACAGGAGGATGAAATCCTTGGCCTGACAGGGCAGTGACAAGTCATTAGAGGGTAGCCACCCAGGCCCTTCTGAAAGTCAAAGTGAAGAGTGAGGGAGGAACACCCTGCCTTTTTTGATAACTTTGGGAAGCCTTAAGTATATCTGTCATTCTGAGTGCCTTGACTCTACATATACATAACATACTTAGGAATATCATGTGAGTGAGGGCCTTGGTCTGATTGGTATTAACCTCAAGTTTGCAGAGGGAAATGTATTAAGCAGCCAAGGAAAGGAGTTCTGGTGAGAAATGGTGAGTTCATACTGAGAAAATAGGGGGTTTCAGAAAACTCTACCAGGGTTGTGATTCCTGAAAGGGATTTCTGGAGAAGATATGTTACTATGAAGCCTCCCTAATTTGTTCCTCAGTAATCTGAGAGATGTGAAGGCCTTGTGTGAGGGTCTAGGTCTCAGGTCAGTAGAGGAAGAGCAATAAGATCCCAGAAGAGGCAAAGATGAGGACCCTGAGGGAAGATTGATAGGTATTATTACCCCAGGATAGAAAGGATCTTACAGAGTTCTTCCATTGCAACCTTTCCAGGTTGTCCCCAGCAGACAAAGTCATATGAGATTCTCTCATTTTCTCACACAGGGAGATGAAAGCTTTGTAATGAGGGAGTCAGTCAGTATGGTTAAGCACAGAGATCACAGGTCCTTCCAGAAACCAAAGTAATGGTCCTGAATGTGAATTGAGGAAAATATTCCCTACCCCAAAATAAAAGAGGCTCCACAGGATCTGCAACTGTCAGACACTGTGTCAGCCCCAATGGGATACAGGTGGAACTGGAGGGCTGCAGCCTAAACACACTAGTTATTTTCACAGTGCCTTGTGGGAAGCCTCACGGGGAGAGGGAACTTAATGAATTCTTTGAGCAGTACCCTCCAGGAAAAGTAGGAAGGTGGTTGGTATCTCCTTGCAGAAGGGGATTACGTAATCTCTCTCTCTTTTCTCCAGGACACTGAATCACCTGTCCTTTTTCTGACACTCCTGCTTACTTTTTGTGGCCTGTCATCATGCCTCGGGGTCAGAAGAGTAAGCTCCGTGCCCGGGAGAGACGCCACCAGGCTCAAGAAGAACCCAAGAATATGGGTAATGTTCAGACGACTGCAGCCAAAGAAGAGACCCACTCTTCCTCATGTTCTCATTTCAAAGATACCCCCAAGAGTTCATCTACTCCTGGAGCAGTCAGCAATCAAAAAGAACCTGGGCGAGCCCCATCTACTGTGGTGACTGCTGCTACAGCTGTTTCACATAAAACAGCTAATGGAGACACCAAGTACCAGGTTGAGGGAAAGCCAAATGTCTCACAGGCTATCATTGAGCACTGGCACAAAAACGTTGTAGACCAGAAGGTTACAGTATTGGTTCATTACCTGCTGTATAAGTATCGAATGAAAGAGCCCATTACAAAGGCAGATATGCTGAGAAATGTAATCCAAATGTGCAAGAATCGGTACTCTGAGATTCTGAAGCAAGCCTCTGAGCACCTGGAGCTGGTCTTTGGCCTTGACATGAAGGAAGTGGATCCAAACAAGAATATCTATGTACTCATCAACAAGCTGGAACTAGACCACAATGCAAAAGTGAATGATAACAGAGGTATACCCAAGACCGGCCTGCTGATGACTATCCTGGGTGTGATCTTCACAAAGGGTAATTGTGCCAGTGAGGAGCAAGTCTGGGCAATACTAAATATGATGGGGGTGTATGATGGGAAGAGGCACTTCATCTTTGGGGATCCCAGGAAGCTGATAACCAGAGATTTAGTGAAGGAAAAGTACCTGGAGTATCGGCAGGTGGCCAACAGTGATCCTCCACGCTATGAATTCCTGTGGGGCCCAAGATCCCATGCTGAAACCAGCAAGATGAAAGTCCTGGAGTTTTTGGCTAAGATCCATAATACCATTCCTAATGCCTTCCCAGGCTGGTATGAGGAGGCTTTGAAAGATGAGGAAGAAAGAGCCCAAGCCAGACTTACAGCTAAGGCCCATAATGCTGCCATAGCCAGTTCTCATCCCAAGGTCACATAAAGCAGCTTTTCTTGTCCCAAGTGAAGGCTAAGAAAAATGCATTATGATTTTGAAGAGGAAAGCTAATCTTCTCTTCAGTGGAAAGGTAGGGTGAAGCTGGTGACAACACAGTATATAACGTGTATCCTTGTTCTATATGGTAACTTAGTTATTTGTTTAACTGTTGTTGTGTTTAATAGAAGGTTTACATAATTTCAGAATCCAAGCTTATGAATGGCATGATTTATGCATTTATTGATGCTTATAAGCTGCAAGAGCCTTAATATTTTACAGAATAAATTGAGAGACTTTCCATCTTATTTAGTGATTTGAAACAAGATAACAGAACATGGATTATGCATTTCCTTGGAAATATGAAAGAACTCAGCAGCTAAATAGACTGAAATAACTAAAGAAAAAAAAGTAAAAGATGATAAATTGCTGTATTTTGTTATCACTTTTGGCCTGTCCTATAAAATTAAGAGATACATGCTTGGATTTGTTTAGTTTCTTCAAGAATATAGTAGAAATTATATCATAATAAATTCTTTTGCACACAGCTGTCCTCATTTATTTCTTAAACATTACCTGGGCATCTGCTTATAGAAACCTCTATGCTAATATTTGGAATATCAGGGTAAACAAGATCCACCCTTGCCCACTAAATTTTAGAATCTAGGAACAGCTGTCATTTTAAGAAGATAGCAAGTTAAAAGAAGTCAGGAGAATCCAGATGAGAGTAGTCAGGTTCAAATGCCCTCAGACAAGTGGGTCGGGGGCTTTAAGAAACTGTCAGTCCTTCAGTATGAATCAAGTTGTAACTAGCTGGGGAGTGGATCAGATGAGGCTATGAGAGTGGTAAGCAGGGGCCTGATCCTCAAAATGAAGTGTCAATAGTTAAAAGACTAATGCCTGAAATAGAAACTGCTTTTAGCAATTACTTTGGAGTCACAGATAAAACAGATTTCTTCCTAATGAAAGGGGCTCTGCCTCCTGTCCCAGTATCCTTTTTACATTATAGTAGAGCACATTGCACAAACTATGTGTTTTATGCAGATCAGGTCTAGGAAATTTCTGAGAAATAAGGGTCACCTGATAGGAATGTCCTTGGAAGCCACCCTGCTGGCAATATTTGCTTTGGCCTGGAAAGGATACCAGTCAATTAAAAGCACATATTTTTAGGTTGTCTTGAGTATAATTTGCAAACTCCTAAATGAGGGATAGATTTTGAATGGGTGTGAAATAAATGAAAAAAGTGTGGTTTGGATGAAAAGACAGTTGGAAGGGAAGGAAGGAGTTAGTCCTTGAAAGTAATCCTGAAATCATTAAGTTGCATCCAGCTGGAGAAGAATCCATCACACTCACAATAAATAACATGTCCCTAAAAAGTTATATAATGCCAGGTGTGGTGGTGCACTCCTGTAATTTCAACAATTTTAGCAAGGCCCTACGCAACTTAGTCAGACCCTGTCCCAAGAAAAAGCGCTCAGAATGTAGCTCAGTGGTAAATTACCCCAGGTTTAATCCTCAGTACTCCTGCCCCCCCCAAAAAAAAAGTTGTATAGTAAATAACTCAATTTTACTTGCTATACATTATTTCCGATGAGTTGTGTACTGTTACCAGAGTGCTGCATATTCTCTGACATCTCTTGTTTTACAAATGCCGCCGTCTGGCTAGGCACAAAAATCACAAGCCACTCAAACAGGAAAAAATTTTATTTTTGAAACTCCCACCAATGCCCTGTATGCTCCCGGGAAATATGCCGACCCACACACGCGGCGTTCTCCCGGACCCACACACCAATAGGAAATCCCTCCTCCTATGGGGCAACTCTTTTTAAAATGTCCTGTTTGTTCACAATTGTAGCATGTTTTTGCCCTGGCATCTAAAGCCTGTTGTACTGCAGCTGCCAAAACTTGCCCTTGTTCATTAATTCATTATTAAAGAGGCAAAATCTCTACATAATTTCATATATGAGTTTAAATCTTCATGTCTCCATGGTCTAATGACCTCTCTGCATTAACGATTTGCTTGGTCATAAGCCAGTTGTTTTATTAATGGCATTGCTTGTTTTGTATCCCCCAAAATTCTGGCCAGATGTTTGAATAAGCCTATCTACAAATTCAGTGTAAGGTTCATTATTTCCTTGTATTACCTTAGATAATTGTCCTTGTAAATCTCCATGCCCCTGTAAAGTCTTCCATGCCCTAACCGCATCTACAGCAATTTGTGTGTATACACCAGGATCATATTCAATTTGTTGCCATTGACCCTCATAAGGTCCTTTTCCTAACAACATATCTAGATTTCTTTGAGGGTAACCGGCTGCTGCATTTCGCCTAGCTGTCTCCATGCAAAATTCCTCATTTGCAACCTTCCATAACAAATATTGTCCTCCATTTAGCACAGATCGACACATATTAGCCCAATCTGCTGGTGTCATGTCCAAGTTGGTAATGGATTTGACCATGCTTACAGTGAAGGGTGCTTGCGGACCATAGGTTGTTACAGCCTCCTTTAATTGCTTCACTGTTTTGAAATCTAAAGCATGGTGAATTCGTTGCCCTCCTGCCTGCTCAAGTACAGGGCATGCTAATCTTTGAGGTCCTGCCTCAGGATTCCGTCTATCAACTACGGGGGTTGAGGGCCACTCAGCTGTCTCTATAGATGGAGCTGAGTTCTAGGGATAGGCAGCTTGAAACCAAAACAAAATAAATCAAAACAAGAACACATTGTTTCTTGAAATGGTCACCCATTCTCTTGCCTTCCCTCAGGGGTGAGCAATTTTACTTACCTCTGAGCTTCAGACATTCCCCGCACAGGCCACCAATTGCCGCAGTCTGGCTGGGCACAAAAATCACGAGCCACTCAAACAGGAACAAATTTTATTTTTGAAACTCCCGCCAATGCCCTGTATGCTCCCGGGAAATATGCCGACCCACATGCCCCACATGCGCGGTGTTCTCCCGGACCCACACACCAACAGGAAATCCCTCCTCTGGAAATCCCTCCTACCATACTTCCCCAACCAATGGGAACTCTCCGGGAGTCCTGCTAGAGCTCCAAAGTAGCAGGCTGAGGCAGACAGCAGGGGTCTAATATCCATTTGAATGCAGATCTTAACATAATCATATCATCTCAATGGCTTGCTGGCCTCACCTTTCAACCAAAAATGCCATGCATCATTACTACTTGGCTATGGCTCTTAGCACAAAAATCACAGAGCAGATTTTGATAGGGTCTGTGGTCAAATTAATAGTACTGGCTGTCAATTATTAAAGAGGCAATAAATTCCAGGCACTGTGCCAGAGACTTTCAGACATTACATATATCCCACAGTCCTAAAAGGCAGTGCTTATCAAGCTCACTTCACAAAAAGTTTGAGCCTTATAGAACTTTGCAGTTTACCTGACTTCATGGCTCCTATGTGTCAGAACCCTGGTCTCAATTAGTTTAAGCCACATAGTGAGCACTTTCCTATATGAGGCAAATGTTATGTCTTCATTAATTTCCCTTCTCACTACTACATAATGTTTCTGGACAATGAAAAGAAGGAACCTAGGGTTGATATACCAACCCCAGTTGTAATAAATAAAGGAGAAAATGAGAATTACGTATTATCTGGGGACTGCTTATGGGCCTCACTTGCCTGATAGCCACCTGTCTCTGACCCCATCCTCTTGGAGTATTGACTTTGCCCAGGAGCTGTCACATGGGACCAGGCCCAGCATTCCAGTTTTATAATGCTCTTCCCCTGAGTCAGCCTCAGTGGGCCTTCAAGGCCAAATCTGCATCATGACCTGCTGTCCAGCTCTTCTCTGCTTCCTCCAACAGAGGTTGTATCTGAGATCACCATGTGGGAAAGAAAGCTCTGAATGTCCTTCCTTTACCCTGACTTAGAGAACCCTGACTCCCTTCAAATGTGCCCTTGTCCTTCATTTCACTCACTGTAGAACACCCCTGATAAAATAGCCCCTTCCACATAATTCTTTACTTTGGCAGTGATGTATAGTTCTGCTTATATCTTTTTTGGGTATTTTCACCAATGGTTTCTCTTTTATTTCCTCCAATTGCCTTGTAAGTTGAGTCAAATTTGGCACAAAATCTACTGATTCTTGAAAGATAACTCAAGTTAGAAAGTTTTTAGGAAGCAGGTGAGATTAAAAAGAATGAAGAACATAATTTAATGATTTATTTGAGACTGGCACTGAATCAATATACTGATGAGTGAGCTTAACTAAATGTCAAAAAAAATTGAAAACTCCCTCTTTAGTGGTGGCTTAATAAATAAAGACCCAAGAAATCACTGCATAACCACATGTCTAGAAGCTGGATTCATTTGTTGTTGTTGTTGAAGAATTTAATTTAATATTATTTATTTTTATGTGGTGTTGAGGTTTGAACCCAGTGCCTCACACGTGTTAGGAAAGCACTCTACCACTGAGGTACAACCCCAGCCCTAGAAGCTAGATTCTTTAAAATCCTAGGATCCTTCCAAGAGAACATAATATTTTTTTAAATATTTAATTTTTAGTTGTAGTTGGACACAATACCTTTATTTTATTTATATTTATGTGGTGCTGAGGATCGAACCCAGGGCCTCACACGTGCTAGGCAAGCACTCAACCACTGAGCCACAACCCCAGCCCTGGTTTTTTATGCTGATGTAACAAACTACCATACATTATGGGACTTAAGCAACACACATTTATCATCTCACACTTCTGTAGGTGAGAAGTGTGTGCTGCTGCTGCTTCTGGTTTATTTTCCCAGTTACCTAAGTCCAAATAGAAATTTCAAAGCTTGGATTCTTATTTGGAAACACTGGGGAGAATCTTATTCCAGCTTTGTTCAGGTAGTTCTCAGAATCTAGTCCTATGAGGAATCTAGTTCTTGGTAGTTTTGAGTGAGGAATGAGTTTCCTTGCTGACTATCAGCTGGAGCTGCCATAGTTCCTTGAGGCCTCTCTGAAGTCTTACATGTGAATTCCTACTTTTTGAATGAGAAATGGCACATTAAA